CAGGACACAGAATGAACAATATATAATACACAGAGCCTTAGATTCTAATCCAAATTCTCCCACCAATCAGCACAATAATTCTAGGAACTTAGTGTCAAAAGTACTGAAATGAGATCATGAATAAGAACATTTTGAAAATTATGAAATGTCATAAAAGCACAAAGCAACTCTTTCATTCCCTTAATAATTACTTTTGTTTCCTTTGTGTGGTCCCTAAATGCCATGGGAAGGCAGCTGAATCCAGACAGAAGAACCAACAACAGACAAGCTCTCTTGTTAGATGCTGAGACAATTAGCTATTTGTGTCTAAAATAATATTTATGTGAAATGTATTTAAAGTCTCCTAGAGTTTGATTTCAATAACACATATTTCAGACAATGAAATGCAATGGATCTTGTTATACTGTCTTTGCATCAATAAAAATGGATTCTTTCTCTGGCTTTAATGCATGTAGATAATTACAGCATTTTAGCCATAATGAGCAGAAACATCTTGAAGTAAGTTAAAACTCAGACCTTATTCAGGATCCACAATCTCAGTACCTACTTTCCTTGCAAGCCTTAATCAAAGATTTGGGTAACTTCTTGTGGCCTTGACTCCCTAGGTTATAAATTTCATGCTCCCACCACATGAAAGGATGCTTGCACTTGACCCAGTAACACCAGGGGAGGAAAGTTGTCATATTTATTATACTGAGTTCTGCAGCCAGTTGAGGAATGTCCTCACTAAAGAAGAAGTGGGTGCAGGCAGTAGCCCCCCTACAGGCTCAGCTACCTCCTTCCACACATCACATCTGAATGTCTGGGCAGTCAGATACATTGTACTGTAGAGTACACACAACTTTTGGGGACAGTAGCAAAGAACTGAGTTCAGTTGAAATGCCTGAATCGTTTGCATTTTTAAAATGTCACATTTTTGCATTGTTCTTTTTACTGCAGGGAGAAGGGGGATTTTGTCATTCTGTGCACATTCTCAGAATACTACAGCACAAGCAAATTTATTAACTATTTGAATTTTCCTTATAAATTCATGACCACTATGAAAAGCATGAATTCCATTCCTCCAAAGAGACACTATATTCTAGACAATTGAAATGTTCCTTGATTTGGATTCTCAGAGCTGTCAGCCTGGGGAAATCTTTGGGTTGTCTGAAATCTGAATTCAGGGCCTGCCCATTGCCACCACTCTTGGTATGCTTTCTCAGGGGCCATCTTTTTCTCTTTTATGTGTCCCAGGTGCTGGGCTTGGATTCCTTGATGGATGGTAAACATGCCAGTGCTCATTTGAGCAAAGAAAAAGAGATGGGAACTAAGGAAAGAGGACTTCTGGGGGCTGTAGGGATTAGGCATCATTTGCTCTCACCACCTGGACCAGACTACAGTGTTATCTATTCTAACATGGTAGTGAAGTTACCAACTCATTTTGTAAACATGAGTGCCCACTGTACACAGTTCCTGATCTTTTGTTTTGTTCTGTTTTGTTTTTGAGATAGGGTCTCACTGTTACACCAAGCTGTCCTCAATCTCTGGGACTCCAGTGGTCCTCCTGACTCAGTCTCTCGAGGAATAGAATCATAAGCAAACATCAACTCAACAAGCAGTTACATCAACTAAATCCTATTTCAATGGAACATTGCTTTTCAAAACTCTAGGTTAATTTATTGTTATACTTAAGGCAACCTAAAATAAAATTTGATTTATCTTGCACATAATATATGGTGTTTGAAATTTATTATTTGTTTTAATATATTAATATTAAAGATCCAAACACCCAGTTAGAATTAACTTATAATTACCCAAATTTGCCATTATTCTTAGTCCATTAAAAACACAAATCATATGAACTATAAAGGGATGATTTGATGTGAGTACATTTGTTTCCTCATTTTCCTTATTTGTATTAGAAAAATTCAATTTAGTGTATTGACAATTTTTCCCTTCATTGGATCAGGGGTATATTACATACTAGGCATGGATGATACTATTCTATCAAATTAATTTCTAAAAGCAAAATTAACTAAAAATCACAGCTTGAGTTGAGAGGTGGGTTGATGGTTTGGCTGAGGAATTTACCTAGTAGTAATAATGCACTAGGAAATGAGAAACACCTGGATGCTTTGATTAAGGGCTTATAGATTATGCTGCAGAGAAACCTCTTGATGGCTGAGCAGGTCTTGATGTTCTCATCTAACTTACAAGGACCACAAAAAGCCGGAAGTTCGAGAAGGGAAACAGAATTAACTATTAGCATTTTTTAAAATTCTGGGAACCAAATATATAAATTGCTTCCTGGTGAAATACAAAATATACTCCCTGGGATTGAAAAAATGAACAATAAAAAATTGCCAATTCATGTATCATTTGATAAATTTAATCACCAACTCCCTGGAAATATCTGGAGCAAATTTTGGTTATTTTGGGTTGTCATGCCATGGTGGACAGAGGCTGGTAAGCTGTTAAACCTACTGTGTGAAAGAAAGTAGGTCCCCTTAAAAAAACATCTTGTCCCCCACCATCAAAAGTGGTGAGGATGATCAACTGAATCAGATCTACTGGAGTGAGTTTAGTGTGTTCATTCACTTATACAGTACTGCCAACCTCTACCTGGTGTGCCAAAGGGCTTCGTGAGAGAACTATAACCATAAAGAAGCCATTGGCATAGCTCATGGTCCAGGGCTGGATAATTAGCACAGCGTGGCAGGGCAAAGACAGATGGCTACAGGGTCTTTCCAAGACTGATAAACGATGGAACGAGGGTCAGAACACATCAGCTGTGTCCTAAGAGCTGAGCAAGGCATGCTGGGAACAGTGGTCATGCAAATAGTGGTTGGAGAAGAGAGAATGGGATTCTCATGAGCAATGAGGACAGTATTAAGGGACAGCTCTCAGGTCTGAGTTTAGCACAGTCTAAAACAAAAGCCAAATTTATAGACATCAATTTTATGGAAAGTGTCAACACACTCCATTGTAGGGTATCTGCTTACCAGTGCAACTACACGTCACAGGAAATAAGTAAAGAAGTAAGAGAAACTCACCAAAAGCAAAGTGAAAGAAAAAAAAAAACGGGAGAAGAAGAGAGGGGCAGCTCAAAAGAGGAGAAAGAGTGGCCAGGTTACCAGCCAGTGCCCCAGCTTTCTGGAAGGCAACTAGCCAAGCACTGTGTTAAAGCTGAAGCCCTGGAACAGAGTCCAGTGTGTCCACCAGCGATCAGTGAATCTTGCTATTTCAGTATAATTATCCCCACCCCATGTAACTTGCCTCCCTCATTTACTGCTCAGGATGGGGAGTTTTAGGGAAACCTATAGGGGCATCAGGAAGAGGTACCTATCTCCTCGAGCTTGCAACCTTCCCCATTCATGATTCCTCACTCGTCAGTAACTTCTCACTCGCGCTCCTGAAGGGAACCTCAGTAAATGTACTGGTTCACCAAGTACAATTTGGGTGGAATCATTTCTTCTGTCTATTGATAGCTGGCTGTCTAGGGTGAACAGATGTTTGTTCGTGAAAAATCACACAAGAGTATGGCACGTATTATGAATACCTGGCTGGTTGAGATATGTAAGAGTGTTGTCACGCACCCAAAGTACTGAGTCTCAGCATCACAGAGAGGCAATGGCCATGGAGAAGTCATAGCTCCAAACATCGCTGTATGTTTTACAGAACTTGCCAAGCAAGTTAGAGAGTTCTCTGGTATTTTTTTTTTATTTATACCATTATACACTTATTTATTTGGGAGTATTTCATATGCTGGTTCTTTGCAACCTGGAGCTGCCAGCATAGTTTGGTAAATTTTTAATGATTTAGCTCAGAGGTATTTCTGATGACTAAATATCTTTCGGTAAAAATTGTCTATCAATTTCTGCATCCTCTCTCCTACTTCCTCTCCCTTCTTGTTCTCACTCTTTCTCTCACCCCTCCCTCCCTTTCTGTATCCATGTATTTCAGCTTAGCTAAGTTTATGATTTATTACCACCTCTTTCCTTCTACACTTCTGAGATCTACATTATCACCCAGTTCTCAGAACCATTCTCCTAAGGGGCGGGGAGCAAGCTCTATAACCCGAGGAAAAGACAAACCATCATACTCGTTATCGACACACGGATGAGGGCCCCTTGCCACTGCTCACTCCATCTGCTGTGCTGTTCCACATGCTCTTGGCCCTGAGGCCAACGCTGCTCAGCCAGCCTCCTCCAACCCTCTGCATGTAGCAGAATTTCCCCACGGACCCAGTGCAGTCAGCATTGGGAAAGGCTACATGCTCCTCTTTCTGCCAGTGTGCTCTGTCTCTGCTGGCATGAAGACTTTTCCAATGCTCACTCAACTGTGGAGCAGCTGCAAGGGGATTCCTCGGGGAACAAAGGACACCTAAAGACAGCAGAGTTCCTGGAGGTAAAGTCCTGGGTGTGTTGCCAGTCCCAAGTTGTGTGAAAGGTCTGTGTGTGAGCGCTAGAGGGTACCCCCATCCTCAACTATCAGTGCTCATTTGGGAGTGCAGTTTTCACCATTGTCAGAGATAGAGCAAATCACACGCATATGCTAAGACCATCACGAATACATCTCATATAATTCTGATGCAGTGATTTTATTGGGCAAGGGATGAGTATTTGATTGGTATGTACAAGGCCCTGGGTTGCATCTCTGGTACTGCAAAACAAGATAACACAACAACTTAACTACTCTCTGTAGTTAACTACAGAATATAGAAGAGGTACATTAAATACTATTTTAAAATTGTTTCCTATATTTTTCTAGCAATGTCATAACTGGTTTATTTTCAATCTTATATAATGATTCAAAGTACAGATTAGGTCTTAGTTTACTTTCTGACCTCTCGTGAAATGATTGTTTGCTGGGACTCATTTTTCACTAAATGTTAAAGCATGGTGCATTTACACTTCACATCTATCTCCCTTTGCAGGGAGCCCTCCTATCAGGAACCTAATCTTTTATACACAACGCCCAGCTCGGGCTGGGGCACCTGCAATGTCTGCTCTCCTCACCTTTGATTTCCCTTTGCTGTAACAGGCCTTCTTGGTAGCTTCATCACAGTCCCACTCCACAGCCTGCAGAGAGAACAAACGCAAACCTTTAGGGCTTTGAGGAAAAGGGAAAACAGGAAGGTCCACGTGGCTACATTCGATCACTGGCGCATCCTCGTCCCAACATCTTTACTGTTGTATAGAATTAACACCACATACGGGATATCAAGTCATGGTATGACATTTCACTTTAAAATTAAGACATTTAGAAGACATGTCCTCTAAAAAATTGCATCATAGTCAAAATAGCAGGACACTCAGATGTAGTTCCTGGTAAGCAAGACGGATTACTTGAGGGAAACCAGGATAAGCACCCAGCCTAGAAGACCATGAAACGGAATGATCTGAATCATTCAGACCCACAGTGTGTCATGCATCAACACTCCTGGGTAATGCCAGGGACAATTCAACATATCCTAGCAACCACAATATCCATGGACATGACAGCTAGGGTTGGATTGGTTCATGCGCAGAGAGCATGGTGACCATTTCCCGCCTCCACGCAGCTGCTAGCTCTATTTGGAGCCACGGTGTTTAATGTTTTTCAGACTTCTCAAACCGGACCCACGCTGATCAGGGTGACAAATGCATTAGCACATCTAGTCACAAAGAGAATGAACCTGCAACCCAGAAGGTGATGGTGCCCGTTTCACAGACAGAGGTGATTCACAAGCTGTGTCTGCAAGCCGTTTAACACCAGTTCAAGCCTGGAAGTATTGTTCTTTTCTACTACTTGGTGGTGCGTAGATTTTTTAATGGAAAGCATTTCCCCTATGTTTTTAATATCTCCCTGTAATATTTTTCTAACTACTAAAATTAGATTTTTGAGATTCAGAGTTATGGACTAGTGAAGTTATTATCAGGAAAACGTGTGAGGAGCAATCTTGTTAGGTCAAAAAATGTCAAATAATAAACTAAACTAAACCCAGTATCAACTAAAGTAAAATAATATGCAGCGAAATACTGTCTCTACTCTCCCCCAGGCCCCAGGGAGAGATGTTTCCCAATTCTCCAAGATGTAGGAGAATATGCAGTCAGGTCACTGCCACCAATCACTGCTGCATAAGAGAGGAAAGTATACCAACTGTGTGCCGGATAGCTTACCCCTCTTGACAAACATGAGACCATGAGAAAATTATCCACAGGGAACCATCCTGGTGTTCTTCAATATGAACAATGCCATGTCTCTGTATGACTGTGTGGAACTGAGAATTCGATCGGAATCGACCTCAATAAGAGAATGTGTTAATTCTGTGACTCTTTCCTGGGTCAATGTTTGGTGGGGGCAGTGAAGATACAGCTAATCCATGTCTGATGCAAATAACTGCCTTGAATTCCATCCAGGATGGCAAGCATTCCCATGAAAAGCAAAGAGCTTCACACACAGCACTGTGACACGCAGATTCAAAAAATGAAAATGTACTCACTGTTAACCATGTCTGACCTTTAATATGTTCCGTTCCTGTTGCATCTTTGCTAATATTTAAATGTAAAACAGAACTGACACAATGATACATCCCTTCAGCAACAAAGAAATCATTACAATTTAAGCTTATGTTACCTAACGGGTTGATGCCATTTAACAGAAAGAGGGCTTACAGCCACACAGGTATGAGCACATCTGTACAATGAAACTCTTCAGCTGAGGAGGTGCTCTCAGTGGCTCTTGTTGACTTGGTGATATTGTTAAAAGTTCAATATTGGGAATTAGAGAGACAGCTACGGTAGTAAGGTGCTTTGTGTGAAGGCACAAGGACCTGAGCTTCAGTACCATTTCAAAACTGCTTAACAAGACCAGTTCTGAGGCAGTGGAGACACAAAGGACCCTGGAGCTTGCTGCCCAGATGCTCTAGCCTCATCTATGAGTTTCAGGCAAGTGAGAGATCATGTTGAAAAAGAAATAGGACCCACCAAAGTAGATAGCACCAGAGAAATGATACCCAAAGTTGACTACACACACATACACACACACACACACACACACACACACACACACACACACACACACACACACACAAATACAAACACTCATATGTATATACATGTATAAGTATACCTGCATACATATGATGCATGTGCACACCCAAAGACACAGACTTAAGTGCTGATATACATTAGAAAGGAAGGGTCATGAGTTTTAAGCCTGCCTGGATTGTAGAGGAGTTATGCTCAGCCTGGGTGACCCAGTGGGACCATAAAACAGAAATCTGAGGATGGAGCCGTAGCCTACCAAGTGGGAGACCTGAGATTCAATGCCCGATAATGCAAGAAAAAAGTAAAATATTAATAGTTTCCCGAATAAACGTAAGAGGTCTGGGCAGCAGGGTAAGCACCAGGATTAAGGGAGAATATTAATCAAATGCCATCAATTGTTAGATCTTACTGCTGCTGCCAGTAAACAAACAGCTTCCCAGTTCTACCTGGTGCTCAAGTAGCCTTCACATTTTCAAGATAAATATTGGCCAAGGACCAGGAATGAAAAGAAATAGAAAAAAAGAGAATGAGTTTTCATAAATATTTTATTACTTTGTCCAGAATACTGAAAAACAGCAACTGCTCGCACCAGTTTATTAGATCAGTACTAAAACAGTACACTCTAACTTTGCTCTTATTTGAAGTGGAGGAGGGACTCCTGGAGATATTTTATCTCTGTATCACCAGCATGACAACCATATTCAAATCCAGAATTAATTTAAAATCATGACTGTTTAGCTCTCTATGGTTTCACATTATTCGTGAATAGAAGGAAAAGTAATTATATACTAATGGTGGGAGTGTACCACGAGAAGAAAGTGAAGGAAAGACATTGTTAGGAACTGCAGAGCTGTATAAGAACCAAAGTTGGTAAAAGAGACTTTTCTAGATTTACAAGAAAATTAAGAGTTCTGGATTAATCTAACAGAATTTTTCTTTTATTCACCAAACTAGACTTTGCTCTGTGGATCTTCTGGCAGTTATGAAAACATGTTTCCACAGGAGAAAACCACAGGGGTTAAGGGAATTTTCTTGCATTAGATTTGACTTCTCAAAGTTTCTACTCTTTTGTTCAAGCTCAGCCCTCTTTTGAGCTCCTTTACAATGCCCTTTATTGTAAGGATCTATCCTTGTCAACGAAAGGCCTTCGACTCAAACTTTATATCTAGTCTCACTGAAAGTGGTTATTTTTAAGTGTATCATTATTTTGGAGCAAAACCCTCAATTGACTTAGGAAGTGTTCTATATACTTATCTTCACATTCATTCTAGCTACTTTTATACCAACTCAAATCTATTTTTCTGGCAGTCAAGACAAATGAAAAGGTGTTATACATTTTCAATCCCAGTAAAACTCAGTCTTACTTCCATAATTTTTAAAAAAATTTATCTTTATTTATTGTTATCCTTTGTCTATTTTACCTCAGAAGAGAAAAGAAACATGAATATTCTATTATTCAACATTTAATGCTCATTGAACATGTCAGAGGCAAGCATAAAGTAATAATAGTGGTTGCTTGAATACTCAATGAATCAATTATTTTGTAGATAAATCAGTTTACATTTATAAAGACTGAAGATTTACACATGTAGCCCATTTTTCTATAAGGACACATAAATATCTCCTGTGATGTTAAATAGGGTTTAAAGGTTTTGCTACAGTTCCATACATGAAGCCTTTTCATTTAACATCTACTAAATATCCACTAAGTATAATACATTCTGTTAGACAACGTTTGATGGAAGAAGATAGATAATATTTGTGCACATAAAGTATTAATTTGAAATAAAAGGTTTTTTCCAATATTTTGAAATAAAATCATTTCAGATTTTGAAATCGACCATTTACTGCATGGGTGTTCAGATTACATAGCCTGTACCCTTTCTCTGGAACAGTAGCTTCACGGTGGTGCATCTCACGTCCAGTGAAATGCTTGGGTATTCTCAATACTTGGCCAGTCACTGGTGCTACAGTCACATCTATCAAGGAGCATTCAGAACCCTGCTTTTAGGATGACAGAAACCCAGGGATGTGAGGAACTTCCTATTGTTTCGCTGCAGATGGTACAGGGGACATGATCCAGTCATGACAAATGCAGCTGTGATCTCAAGAGTAAGTCAGATGTTGGAAAGAAAAAGATTGGCTCTTTTTATGTACTTGTTACGTACATATAAATCCACAGTTCTCAGAAGTGTATAAACAAAGCTGTGTATTATCACATTCCACAGCAAGAGAAGTTAATTAGATGGGGCCTAGCAGTGGCGGGTGCTTTTCATAACAATGAAGAGAACAACATTCCAGGCAGATGGGCCACTGCTCTTTCAGCAGATGGCTGTGCTAATTAGATACTGGCAAAAGATAACATTTAAAAAAACTAGTTTAATTACACAGCACCCAAAATTAACAACCACCTGAGGGTTTTTTTTTTTCATATGTTTGCATTTATATTCTTATGTCATATATTTCAGCGACACACTGGAGAGTGTTACATTGTCACCACCATTATAAACAAACTGTCAGAGAATGTGAGGCCATGTCTTTGTTCACAAAAAGCAAAACTCAGATGAAATTTGAAACAAGTGGGGATTTCACGGTGTTCGACTAGAGTGTCAGTTTAGCCAACCTTGAATATGGCTGTCTTCACTAGTTGCCTTGATGTGGCAGTCATGTCTGCTACAGAGGGACACACAATCTTATTGTGCAAAGGTAAAATATTTTATTCACTTTGTGAGAGCTATCTAATGCTCATCATCATCTTTGTGCCTCATGTTAAATGCAGTCGTTCGTTTTTTATATGACTCTCTGCAGGATACCTCCCTTTCTGATCATGTCAGAGACTCCACTTATTTCCTGTGTGCAGTCCCTCAAGATCACAAGGCTAAAAAGGAACTTCCTCTAAATTTAACCAATGTATTTTGGTAGTTTGTTTTTAATTCTTGCTATACTAACACCAATATGTGACTCGGTTATATATCTTAATCTTAGAGATTCCATAAGTATTAAAATATTTAAAGCACTACACTAAGACCTATGTTTTTTTTCCACATACT